TTTGGCTCAGCTCAGCATTATTTAGGTAATGTTTATCACAAATTGAAGAAAATATTTGAAATGCCATTTTTAAAGCATTCAGCAGAGCTATTAAAGAAACATTAAATTTTAGATCCCTAAAATAGAAGGTTGGTTTTTGATACCCTAGTCATTTTGGAGGTATCCTTTTTTTTTTATGCTAATGTTGAAGGATTTCTGTGAGTTCAAGGCCAGCCTGAACTACACAGTGAGACCTTTTCTCAAAAATAAATAAGTAAATAAATTAAATTAAATTAAAAAAAAGAAAAAAACACAACAAAAAAGATTTTTTTGTAGCTTATATAATGCAGAATTGGTATGCATCTAATTAAAATCATTAATTTTAATGTTTATGCAGAACAGTTAAGCTTTCATGTAATAATTTTGTTATAATCTGACTTGCTTTCATTGAAAGTATTAAAGTAATATTTAAATAAAATGTAAAGATGCCTTTGCTGTTGGTCTAATTAGTTCCATATTTAGAAAAACATAAGTATGCTTTACCATAACATCCATGTAATTAATATGTACCCATGTTAGATAGAATATGAGTAAAGATAGGAACATTTAAAAAGCAAGAATGAGTTGTGAAATCAGATCAAATTATTAATATTTTTTAAATGAAAGAGTGCAAAACTAAACAGTTGACATAGCTAAAAGTAAGTTTGGCTTTATAGCCTTTTTCAAATGTAAGAATAGTATTAGGTCTCAGAAATTATTTGATTGGTTAAGATGATGTGCAGAACATTTTTAAAAATATTCTCACATAATTTCTAATATGAATATGTAGTATTTTAAAAATGATTATCACATTCACTTCAGTGAGTCATAATTCCAAAATCAAAATTTAGTCATGGCAAAAATAAAAGTGCTTATATTTAACTTAAAATTGTAACCAAATCAAGAAGTACTTTCTTACTATATTATTTTATATATACATAATTTACATGCATCCTAAAATATTTAACTATTTTATCACAGATTTACATGTCAGTCTTGTGCAGAGGCTATACTAATCTTCTAAGTATTGTTTCATCTTTAGTAAATGTGCTACTGATGCAAGCAGAACTATAAAATAAATTTGACTAGAATTTTCAGGGATATTTTAATGGATATTTTTAAATTTTAGTTGTGTGACCTTCATATAATCAAGTTGCTGTGAATGGTCAAGAAGTTATTTGAGGGAAATGAGTTGCAAGGTCCTCTTTTTAAAACTTAAGAGAAAATATTATTTATCAGGATTCTTTTGGATAATTACCTATTTCTGGGGATATGTGGTACCTAACTTTGAGTATTGTCCTTTTAAGTGGAAGGAGTAGAATTCATTGGTTTTAACTTTCTACTTAGCTATATAACCTTGATCATGTTTCTTGGTAATTTCTAAGCCTAAGCCTTAGTTTACACTGGGGATAACAGAGTGACCATAAAGTCAGGAAATAATTTAGCAATTATATTCCCATAGAGGTTCACATAAATCAAGAGATGCACAAGATATTTATAAGCACTGTTTCTAAGAGCAAATCTTTGGAAATAACGCATTATATCCAGAATGAATAAATACATTGAAAATGAATGGACCATAATAATTCCTCATATGGCAGAATATAAAAATATGTTGAATGAAAACAGCAAATTATATCAGAATACATACAATATGATCCTATTTGCATAAAAATTAAAAATATATAAATGCTATGGTTTGGATATGGTTTGTATTCACAAAAGAGAACACTAGAATTTGGTTCCCAATGTAACAATATTGAGAGGTGGTGGACTTTTAAGAGGTAATCTAGTGGCAGGTCATGAGGTCACAGGGGCCTTACCCTCAGAAAGGATTAATGCTTATCTCAGGAGTAGGTTAGGTCCCAAGAGATTGGATTAATTATTTTGAGAGCAGATGATTAGGCAATAAGGCCTAACCTTGTTTTTGGCTGAAGTGTTTTCGAAGTGATGAATGTTGAAATCTTGAAAGATCAAAATCCCTAAAGTCTAAAAATCCCATAAGATCAAAGTTCTAAAAATATGGTATTTCTGGAAAAAATAATTAAAATTTGATACATTTATTTACATTTAAAGGGAATTATTTGAGAGTAAGATGTATTAGAACTCTAAAAGTATTTACACAATGTATACCTCTAGTTTCAGAAACGATGCAAAGATGAAATACGTGGCATAGAAAGTTGTAAAAAATAATACTGACATCTTAGTAGTGTGATACACTGCATATTTAAAAATGACAAATGTATTTATAAAATTAATTAATTGGAGAGTCCAGTAGGTGGTCAATGATTGTTATTATGGATAAAAAGAAGAAAAATATGGAGGTGATCTGTGTGTTCACCATGTAAATTGTAACCCAGAGGAAAGAGAGTAAGACTGAGTCATAAGATAATATTGTTACAACCTGTGATGAACACCATAAAGAATAACTTTAGGTTGTAGAAGGATTGTAAAATTGAGGAACTGACCTGCACATTATCATACTGGTCCTCTGTTGCTATAAATTTCTTTTATTTTCTTCAGTTTTTTAATTCTAATCAGTTAGCTGTCAGTATACATCGTAAATTCAAAAATAGCTATTTAAGTCTCCAATGGCAGTTGGAGAATAAAAGTTTTATCTTTGTGACAATGTACAAAATAAACATTTGCTCAGATACATTGTTGCTGATACAATCTTAATACCAAAAGCACAAACAAACCCAAACATACTCCCACCTCATAGGTATTGCAGTTTTAAGGATTCTATGCTTTTGAGATTGTGATTTGGGGGATATTTAGGCTGTAGAAATTTTGATCTTTCCAAGATTTCAATATTGAGATTATGACATTGGAATTTTGTCTTGGGATTATGAATAGCATTGCTTCCACGTATGCTGTGGAGCTCTTGCTTGTGCTCCTGCTATGTGATATTATCTATCATTTTAAGACACAGTGCCAGACCCTTGCCAGATATGGCTGTTCAGTCTTGGACTTTCAGCCTCCAAAACTATAAGCTAAATGAAGCTCTTTATAAAGTACCCAGGCTCAGATAATTTGTTATAATAACATAAACACTAACAAATAATGTTATTGAGGATTTCATACACATCTGGTAAAACCATGAAAAAGAGCAGGGGAATGATTCATTCATAATTTGGGTGGTGTTTCCCTAAGGTGAAGGGTAAGAGAAAGTTGGTAATCCTCTGCTTCTTAAACTATGTGGGTATTTAAATATATATATTTACTATATATTTAAAATATGTATATCTGACCTTTTATGATTAAAAACAAATATAGTGGCTTAGAGACTTTTCTTTTATTATTGAACAGCAGGGTTGAGGAAAAGTAAAAAGCGATGAATCTTCTGCCAGAAGTATTTCCATTTTTACAAATCTCATTCAAATTTTCAAAGTTGGATTTAAATCTTATATTGCCATTTGCTTTCTATTGTTCTTCCTTTCTAATTTATTCCTTTATTTGAAATTTTAAAAATTCCATGTTATCTCTTTTGTTGGCTTATTAGTAATAACTGGTAATTTTTATGACTGCTTTAGGGTTTATAATATATATCAAAAATCTACTTTCAAGTGATATGCCACTTCACATATAGTGTAAGAGCTTTCTAATAATTTGCTTTAATTTCTTTGTTTCTGATTATCATTTTATGGTCGTTGAACATTTTACTTTTGTATAGGTTATTAGTCCCATAAAACATTCTTTTCTGTAATTTAAACGGTTTTTAGAGAGATTTAAATAATGAAGAAAATATCATAAATATTCATCCATATAGTTACTTTTCTGCACTTCAATATCTTTGTGTAGATTCATATTTCACTGTAGTGTGGTTTTTTTTTTGGCCCAGAGTACTTTTAAAAAATATTGCTTAAAGTGTGAACTGGCTGGTGAAAAACTCAGTTTTTAAATGTTAAAAAGTCTGTTTATTCTTTGATTTTTAAAGATATTTTCATAGAGCATAGAATTCTATGTTGCTAGTTTTTCTTTCAGTATTTTGGAGATGTTAGTTTCCTCCCTTTTAACTTGCCTTGTTTCTGATTAGAAATTACTTCCATCTTTATTTGATTTGAGCCTGTTTCTCTTTGAATCTTTCTAACATTTTTTTAATCACTGATTTTTAAAATTATGATGTGCCTGGGTATAATTTTTTCATATTTCTTTGTGCTTGGGGGTCATTGACCTTTTCAATTTAAAAGTTTTTAGTTTTCAACAAATTTGAGTCAGTTTTGGACATTATTTGCTCACATTGTTTATGCCATATTCCTCTCATCCTGCCACTTTTGGGAATTCTAAATATATCTATAGTAGGCAAGTTGAAGTCATCCCACAGCTCATTTATTCTCTGTTTTATATTTTTAATTTTCTTTCTGCATTTCATTTTGCAAAGTTTCTATGTCTTCAAGGCTACTAACATACAATATCAAAATGCTGTTAATTACATCCAAAATATTTTTCATCTCACATACTATAGTTTTTATCTTTAGGAGTTTCACTTGGGTTATTTAATGTGGTTTTCATGTCTACTACACGTTTAAAAAACATTAAATACAGTTATAGTAATTGTTTTTAAGATTTATTAGGCAGGATTTGAGTCTAGGGCTAATAATTTTCCACTCCTGAACAAAGACTTTTTTGTATATTCTACTTTTGTGGCTGTGAATCGTGAAGTTTTTTGTTGGACTGGTGGGAACAGGTACTATTCTTAGTCCTGAATGAGTGCCAGTGTTAGGTGTAAACATTTCTGATCTTTCTTGGGCTTCCTGGATTTTCATATTCATGTGCTGTAAGTGCTCAGGTGAATTCTCAGGAATAATCTGAAGTTCGATAGCTCTGAAGAACTCCCTTCTCTTTATAGCTCCTTCCTCTCCAGAAAATTCTAACAATTTTGTCTTCCTCAGTCTTCCATTTCTCTCTGCTCAACTCATATTGTCTGCTCAGCTCCTTCTAATTCACCCTTCTCTGCACTGAATCTTCCCTCTTCTAGCATAGTTTCATTGGCAGGAATACTCTTTTTTTATTGATTAGTTTTTTAAAATACTTCTTTTTGAAGTATTTCAAATAGACTGAAGAGTTGTAGGAATAGTAAAAGTAACTAAAAGTCCTCTGATTTACCAGTTTTTAGCATCCTATTACATTTGTTTAATTACACATGTTGCCACCATCAAATCCTCCCTCACTACATATTGTTTTTTCTGAACTGTGTAAGTTGTAGTGATGTCTATAAAAAGCCCCTACATCATTTTTATTTATTTATTTTTTTGCTATGCTGGGGATTGAACTGAGGGCCTTCTGAACACTATGCAAATGCTCTACCACTGAGCCACATCCCTAGTCCTTAAACTCCTGTATTCTTTTTTTTTTTTTTTTTGGTACCAGGGATTGAACTCTGGTCCTTGTACTTGTGAGGCAGGTGGCAGAACCACTGAGCTAAATTCCTGGCCCTAAACTCCTGTATTCTTCAGTGCATATTTTCCAAGAACAGGGTCATTCTTTTATATAACCACTAAACATTTATAAAATTTATAAAACATTTTTAAACATAAAAGTTTGACATTTTTGATATATGCTATTGTCTTATGTACTCTCATATTCACAATCTGCCACTTTTCTCAACAACATTCCATATATAATATTCATTCCCCAATATAGGATCGGGCATTTTTCTTATGAACAATAGAATTGATAGGCCATTCTTGAATTTCTGAAAGTTATAGTTTTGGATTATCTGTCCTCCGTTTATCAGTTCACAGACCTTATTTTAGTGTTCTATGAGTAACCTAATGTAATTTCTTTTTCTTTTAAATTTAATTTATTGATACATTCTAGGTTAATGTAATTTCATTTTAAATTATTTCTGCTTTTTTTCTTGTTCTTTACTGTCTTGTGTATCCAGAGTTCCTTAGAGAGGCAGAAGATAGGCCTGGAATATCATCACTGCTCTTGTGTGGACAGTGCTCTCCTTATTACATTTCTCATATTTGCTTACAAATCTGTAGAGCATATCAGGTGCCTATTCCCAGCTCACTCAGGTATATGTATAGAGGGAACAGTCTGAGATAATTATGATGTTCA